TATCATCACAATATACTTAAAATACAAAAGGTAAACGTACTCTTTGTGTAACGATTGTTTTAGCATTAAATGTGATTTTAAAAAAAACAAACAATTGTTGTATTTTACTACTGTAGATGTTTAAGGTTAAGCTAATTTTTTTTTTATATACTGGGGTTCCGTTTGATCTGCAGCAACGCATTTTATTTGTTATAAGACCTTCACATGTTTGTACTTTTGTTACCTTGTCAAAACCACATATCTATAAAAAGTCAGATTGTTATGAGTTTTTTTTTCTTTTTCTTTTCTTTAGCCTAAGAAGTAGGAGAACGTTTTCAACTCAAGTAATTCAAGGAGCTGGTTCCCACCTCTTACTTAAATGCATGGTTGCAAGATAAAGATTCTAATTTACTGATTTACAAAAACCTTTTAAGTTGCAAACATTATTTTCATGGGTTGAGTTGACATACCAATGTTGCATCCACTTAACATTGTGCGTAAATGAAAATCTAATTTTTGAGTTAGTTGATTTAAAACTAAATATAAGTTGAGGCAACTTAATAAATGTATCTTTATATCTCGTTTTCTTCTCCTTGTGTTCAGGGTTTCAACTCCCCTCTCCTCCATATTCAACATTAAAACAACTATTATTTATTTATTTATTTAGATTTCCCAACCTTTAAACTTAATTTGGTAATAAAGTACATTACACTTTATTGTTTTATTTTAAATAAGATGGAAAAACAAGGTGGAGCAACTAAGTAAACAACTTGTGTTCATGCTACCAGTCAATAAGTAACGAAAAATAACTTTGACTGAAGAGGAAAAGGTCATTTCACGAACTCACTGCCTGCAGACGTCCACATGAAATGATACATGTTGTTAAATAATGTCAGCATATGTGTGATAAGAGTGGAGTCAGGTGTTTCAGTGCGTCATGTGAAGTTACACAGCAGAACTTTAGGCCTCAACACGTTTGTTTGGTCTTTAGATTGTGGATGCACAAACATCATTATCTGTGTCTGATTATGCCTCTGATGTTTATTCCTCTGGTGCAGGTGAGATTTCAAATCTTTTGCGTCATTCACACTGGACGCTGTCGCCTTGATGTCTCACTCATCTCTTACATGGTTTTTGCCAATATGATGATGCAGCTGAAAATCACATTTTGTAGATTTTTTTTGCTTTGTAAATAAAGTGTTATTATCTCAGACATTTTGCTGTCATTTCCAGACTTTCTATGAATATTTACAGATTTTACTTTATATTCAAATGGAGCTGATTAACCATCGAAACTTGAAGCAGTTTCT